TATATATATGTATGTATTTATTTATGGATTATTTCTTATTTATCTATCTACTAGTATTGTTCTTACTGCCTTTGTTAATATTATTATTGTTGTATTATATTATATATGCATAGGTTGGCAGTTGCCAAAGTCACACGCAAAGCGCAGTTCACGCGAGAAGCTTGAAGGAGGTCTTAAGCTTACACATTCATCTACTAAATGTGAGGTTGAGTTAAGGCTTCTTGGAGTGTTGATGTTTTAGGGTTTAGCATGTTGATCGCAGAGCTCGACTAGGCTTACCTAGACCTGCCTCAAGCTGCTTGGTCGCCTGCAATACAAGGTCTCATTGAGAACCTACGTCCGGTATGGATCTGGATATGAATATTTCCTGGGGGCCCCTAGGCCAATGCCGGTCAATACGACAAAACCCCAAACCCTAAACCCTAGAGGGTTGAGGGACAAGGATTCAGAGGTTGAGATTCGAGTTTCGAAGTTCGCATCTTTTCGGGTCGTTAGCCTTGAATGGCCCTAAATTCTGCCCCTTAACCCTGAGGCTCCATATCCCAATTGCCTCATTTTGCATGGTCTTTGGGCACGAAAGCCCGAAAGCCGCAATACGTGACCCTAAGCCCTAACACGTCACAAACACTAAGTCACTAAGTCTTAAACCTTAACATCCCCCTAAACCCAAACCCCTAAGCCTTAACCCCTAGACCTGAACCCCTAAATCTTAACCCCAAAGACCCTAAACCCTAAACCCCTAGACCCCTAGACCCCTAAACCCTAAACCCTAAACCCCTAAACCCCAAAGCCCTACAACCCAGAAGCCTCTCCGCCCGACTCGGCTCTGCAGCCCTTGAGCCTGAACGGAGAAAGAGACCGTCACGCGGCCGTGGACCATATCCACCTGCACTTGGGAGGGTGTTTAGTGTTTAGGGTTAAGGGTTTAGGGTTTAGGGTTTAGGGTGCGGCCGTGGACCATATCCACCTGCACTTGGGAAGGTTTTGTTGGGTAGTTAGAAGGCTCCTTTAAGGGATCTATAAGAGGGTTCTATAAGGGATCTATAAGGGGGTCTATAAGGGGTCATATTTTGAGGTTCAATGGTAGTTATAAGTAAGGTTAGAAGTAGGGTAACCATAGCTATCAACCTGCACTTGGAGGGATTAGAGTTTAGGGTTTAGGGTTTAGGGTTTAGAGTTTAGGGTTTAGGGTTTAGGGTTTAGGTTTTAGGGGTAAGTTTAGAGTTTAGGGTTTAGGGTTATAAATAGGGTCTCCATAGTTTATAAGGTGTATTAAAGGGACCTATAACTCCACTTAGAAGTACCCATGAACCTGCAGAGGATGGCTATGGGCTCCTTTGCGGGTTTACGCTTTAGGGCCTGTAGGGTTTAAGGCTCAGGGTTTCGGGCTCAGGCGTTCTATAAGGATGTGTGTGTATATGTATATATGTATGTATGTGTATATATATATATATATATTTGTATGTATATATATATATATGTATATGTATATCTCTCTCTCCCCTCTTTACATACATATATGTACACACATAAGCTCTCCAATTCCCACCCTGAAACCAAAACCAAAACTCTAAACACCCTTAGCACTGCAAGCCCAAAGCCCTCAGACTCTTCTAGCATCCTAAAAAGAATTTAACCCTAAACCCTAAAACCTACAGTAAACCCCAACAAGTTGGAAACCGGATCGAGGACCAGTAGTGCTGGAATTCCCTATAGATGACTCTTGAGGAGTGAGGCTATTGGGTTTCCAACTTTTGGGCTTCTACTATAAGCCTAAAAATAACGCTTCCAAAGGCTAACCCTTGAAGAACACCCAAAACCCTAAACCCTAAACCCTCCATACAAGCCCGACAGTTTCGGGCGTATGGAGTTTTTAGGGCTTTGGGTTTAGGGTTTAGGGTTTAGGCTTCAGGGCTTAGGGTTTAGGCTTTGGGGTTTAGGGTTTAGGGTTTAGGCTCTAGGGTCTAGGGTTTAGTGTAGGGTTTGCGGTCCTCAACCCCAAAACCGGAAACGATTCACCTCAGGCTGCTCGTCGATCTCCTCCTTCAGGCCCTCGCCGGTCTCATTGACATACCTCGGCACTAAGGCTTAGGTCCTCAAAGAGCTCCTTTAAGAGTTACTTGAAGGGTTCCTTTCAGGGTTCCTCTGAGGTTTAAGGGCTTCGTTCATAATGTAGTATAGAGTATGGGGGCCTGATTAATTAATCAGAGCAGGGCGTTCGGGCACATGACCGTTTCATAATGAGACAAAGAACCCGAAAAAACTGCCTGATTATTCCGGTTCCTCTATTAGACTCATCTGAGTTCCGTTGAAGCCTCTTCTGAGGCACACCGAAGCTGCAGCACGAGCCTGCACCTTTAGGGCTTTACGGGCTTAGGGCTTCGGGTTTACAAGCTTTAGGGCTTAGGGTGTAGGCGAATACAAAAACAACGAAGTAAAGGCCGCTTCCAAGAATGCCAAAGAGATGGCAGCAGTAGATATCGCAATGATCCGACGAAGAGCCCACGCAGCAATTACTGCACTGCAAGACGAGGCCCCACGGAATGCTTGAAGTCCCGAAGCAGATAGATTCTGAGCCGTATTAATCAAGAACTGCCCTTCCACCGCTCTAGTACCAAAAAGTATCCAGAACTCAGAACTCAAAGCACGACACAATACACACGCGAACGGTAGAAGCCTGAACTGTTCAACTACATTGGGGTCCATAAAGCGATACAGATTCAAATGTTCACGCCCCTCTGTTTGACTCAACTATATAGTCGGGCCCAGTAGCACGCCGCAAAGCTCCGCAGAGTCCTCTGTGAGGTTGAACTCAGCACATTCGTCAGGCCAAAGCATCATCGAGTGGGATCCGAAGGGGTCCTGCGAGTATTTTATGATCGTACTTGGAGGTTCATGGGAAGTTATAAGTAGGGTTAGAAGTAGGGTAACTACAGTTATAACTTACATTAGCGGACTCATAACTCCATTTATAACTACTACCCCTGAACCTCCAAGTAACCCCTCACATTCCTAATGTAGTCGTACTTTGAACGACACCCCGTACATCCCCGAACCCGATTCCAATAACATCTAGTAACCAGTAACCATTGCTGCAAAGGGCCCTATATTCCTTGGAGGATGTGGCCTCGGGGGGCTTTACGGCTATTCAGGTTCGGTTTAGGTAGTCTGCAAAGGGCTCCGGGGGCTATTTAGGGATCCGGATGGGGTGGCAGGGGATCCATTATAAGCATTATATAGAGGCTTACAACAAGATTTGTTCAGGGGTTCTGAGGCTTTTTCTCAGGTCTTAAAGCGTATAGGTTTGTACTTGAGTCTCTACCTCTAGGCATTATGCACAACTCAGGCTATAATGTTCCCGCAAGATTAAGGCTCGAAGGTGTAGATCGGGCTGCCCGTTTCAGCTTCAAGTCTCTAGGACTCTAGGCAATAAACTGCACATCGTGGAACTTCAGGGTATTGGGATTCAGAGTCTAGGAACCGACAGACATGAGGACTTTCTTTTTGAGCTGAGTAAAGCCCAAACTCCGAACCCCAATCCCTAAACCCCCCCAAACCCTAAACCCAAAGCCCTAAACCCCTAAACCCTAAACCCTCGGGTTTCAGCGTCTTGCTGAGAGCTAACCTTCAGCCCCAAAGCCTGGGAACCTGCGGCCCTCAGTCCTGCATCGACCAGCAAGGCTTTATTTGGGCTTATGGTTTATAGAGCTTAAAGCTTATAGGGGTTAAGGCTTATAGGGATTAGGGGTTATCGGGTTTAGGGCTTATAGGGTTTAGGGCTTATAGAGTTTCGGGCTTATAGGGTTTAGGGCTTATCGGGTTTAGGACTTATCGGGTTTAGGGCTTATAGGGTTTAGGGCGTATAGGGTTTAGGGCGAATAGGGTTTAGGGTTTAGGGTTTGGGGTTTAGGGTTTAGGGCCTTTAGGGTTTAGGGCTTCTTGGAACCAGGACCAAACAACCCTAGGACCCGTGTGGTTCCGTTTTTTGGTAAATGCCGGCAACCGTAAACTTTGTCACTGTCTGGGTAGACGAGGGTCTTCCTGGCTGGGTGCTATATAAAAACACAGGTAATCAGGTAGTCCTATGGAATGCTACTAGAGCTCATTCTTCAAGCTCCTATACTGAACACTTCAATCCCTCAAAAATCCTGGCTTTCCCCGACCTCAAAACCCTAAGCTGGAGAGTGCAAATGCTTGTTTGGATCGAGGCCGACCACTGGCTCGTTCCAGAGAAATGCCTTTCTTGGGAGCTAGATGCATTAACTGCAATATAGGGGCCGTAATAATTAGAATAGGGTTTTGGGGCCCAGTATACTATAGTTATTACAAGCGGGAACCTCCAAAATAGTATGCTTGAAATTATTTCGGCACCTTTATTACAAGCATTGACATGGTGCTTTGAAAGATGGAGATGGGAAGCCCCAAACTATACACCCCTAAACTTGCCCTGGACCCGGAAACCCCTAAAGCCCTAAATTCTTTCGAATCTCCACAAATCCCAAACCCTAAACCCTACCTTTACCTACCAAAACATACATTTGGCAGGGTCCCTATAAGTTCCATATTAGGGTTTATAGTAACAACCTACAAAAAACTCGGGTTTTTGGTAGTTTAAGGTAAACCCTAAACCCTAAACCAGAAGCTTTGGTCCTCAAAGCTGGGCATGCGATCCAAGCGGAGACCCTCCGTCGCATCGAAGTGATTCCGCCTTAGCCGCTTCATTCGACTACCTACCAAATCGTTTAGGTTTTAGGGTTTAGGGTTTGGGTTTAGGGTTTGGGAGTTCGGGTTTAGGGGTTTAGGGTTGTAGGGGTTTAGGGGTTTAGGGTTTTTGGTTTAGGGTTTAGGGAACTACCAGATCAATTTTTTGTAGGGCCCCTATAAATTCGGCACAGGGGTGCTATTTGGGCTCTGTAGAGCTCTAGGGGTTCTGCTTGAAAGATTGGAAGCGAGCTTACTGTAAACGTTTCCTAAGACTAAGGACTGTACCGGGATGCTTCAGGCCTGTACAATAACCCCGAACCCCTGCAGAAAACATGTTGGGGTTGCGGGTCTTATTACTTTGAGTTCGGCAAATCCATACAACCTAATGAAGCCAAGCGCTAAAACGCCAAACCCTGAAATCCTACGATCCAAGAGCCTAGGCCAAAAGCAAAAGCCCATCCAATCAAAACACCCTGCACACCAAGCCGACCCTCAGGCCGCGAAAGTTGCGCCTCAGCATGATCCCTGAGGCCTAAAACGCCCAAACCCCAGACCAGAAACCTCTCGTATCCTCTGCACCCGAGCCCTAAACGCCCTACAGAGCTCAGAGCCCAATCCGCAAGCACTAGGCCCACTAGGCTTCACGGCTGCTCAGAACCCGGGGTACTGACCAATCGGTAAAGTTCACGTGCACCATGATGGCCTGTGCATGACAAAGAAGTTTAAACGAAAAGTACTACTGAGAAGGATCCTGAACAACAGTGGGGGCGGGAATGTGCATGATGTAAGCGGCAGAGACAAGGACAATGATAACAGCAGCAACACCAGCAGCAAGAGCAGCAGCGGCAGCAGCCCCACCAGCGGCAGCAGCAGCAGCACCACC